CTTTGTTCGCGGATTGTTATCTCCAAGACGTGGAAATTCTCCTTGATCATGTCTAGCTTTTCTTGGACATCTCGTGGGATTGCTTCACTCTCGGGTTCTCCATTTGGTAACCTTTCGCGAATAAGAAAAATAATGTTAAGAAAACGGGGATGGAAAACAGTTAAAACTAAAAACAATCTTTACATCTGATTATTAACAATTATTCCACGAGCGCGCGTTGGATATGAGATGATAGATAGCCAACGAGGCGCGTAGCGCCGAGTTGGCTATAATCATCTCATATCCAACAAGCGCGAGTGGAATAATTGTTTTATTAAAAACGCCCCCAAGAAATTATTATTTTGTAAGAAGAAACTGGATTTTTTAGCTCCCTTTTGATTTTAAGCTGACGCGTACGCTTACCATATTTGTAGATTATGGTATATTGGCTGATATACCATAATGGCTAAGCCAATAAAAAGTCTTGAATTGCATTATCCAATGATCCAGTTTTTAATAATATACTATTATACTCTGACAAAGAAAAATAAACGACAAACAAATGTATGATATTGATAACTTGTTGGCAGAAGTGGTAACAATTATGTGAAACCTCGCCATGCGAGTAGTAATAATAATAATATTATTATTATTATAATAATAATAATAATAATTATGATAATAATAATGATTATGATAATAATAATAATAATAACCTAGCCGCTTTAAGGACATGTTTTCGTGATCGTGACGACTATTACACTATTATACTCTGACAAAGTAAAATAAACGACAAATAAATGTATGATAATGATAGCTTGTTGGCAAAAAAGGGGAACAATTAAGTGAAACCTCGCCATGCGAACAACCTTTTTTCAATGTAATTTTGTGTCTCGAACTAAAGCCTTGTCTTTTTTAATAGTCCACAACCTTGCTTATCTAGCAACTCTGTAATCGTCACCAGCAACCAGGTTTTTCAATCCCTAGTAATTCTTTCTTCTATTTCTTTCTTTTTTTTTTTTTCAGCTCTCATAGGCGCTGCGACACGATTAATGAACCCGGTTCTGACCCGATGAGGGCTGCGAGCGGGTGAGAGGTAAACTAGGGGTCTGTGATGCTTTCAGAGAGAGTTACAGACCTTCCTTCTCCTCTCTCCTCCCCCCCCCCCATCCACAATCTCCTCGCCCGCTCGCTTCGCTCACCGGCTTGAATCGCGTGGGCTTAAATCGCTTTAGACCTTTATCTTTTTCCTAAGAATACAATCACGCAATGACTCCCATGATCGCTCTCTTTCGCTAAAAACAAATAAACTCTTTAACTCTGTCATTACCTTTGCTCAGAAGTTAGTGTTACTGGAAATTTAGGAATCATCATACCATTTTTTATTTGACACCTTTTTGTCAATCATCCAGAAGATGCCGTGCGTGACGTTGCAACCTAAATTTGTAAAACACAACTGGTTAATACGACAGGAGCCCATTATACGATCATTATTTTTTTTTACCCTACGGCGTTCATATTAACGGAATCCAATATACTTTGTACTACGTCACAATTACACTTGAATAGACACGCCTTGTTTGTTTCACTCTTAAACCTCTAAGTACCTTCAAGCGCTTTATAAAGACTGCACAAGTTAAAACAAACCTGAGAGCCTCTTGGGAATTCCGACTCTTTTTCTTCGTAGTAGTCATCATTTTATTCTTAAGCCTTTGCGACTGCTTTTACGTTTTTACATAAACGCAGACGTCAATAGCACTTATCGGCGTGGATATTGTGTTGTTCTCTGAACCATCTTTCAATGGTTAACTCAATGAAGCCGCTGAATGACATGGCAATATAATCTCGGTTGTCTAGGATCATATTATCGTGAGATCCTTTCACCCCCTGGCTTGTAACAGAGCCAGTCAATGTTGTTAAACAACGCCGAAGGTTTGTGGCCGTACATTTGTGATCAGCGACTGCATGAATGCACTGAACTAAAGCACACCAAACCGGCAGCGAAGTCAGCGTTTATAAATCAGCTCGAAAGAAAGAAACTCTGACGGTTTTTAGAGGATAGCGAAAAAAAAAAAATGGATGCACCAGAAAAAGGCAACAGAGGAGTGTCCACAGAAGAGACCACAGAAGTTTTCCAAGTTAACGTCCAGTTGCCAACAGGCGAAACCTTGACTCTTCAAACTAAAGGCTCGTCAAGTGTGCGTGATTTGAAAATTATAGTGGAAGTGAAAAGCGGAGTTCCGTCTGATTTGTTTACACTTGTACACAAACGAGCAGAGGAAAATAACATTATCAAGCTCAGCGATGAAACTAAGATGGCGGACATCCACACGTTCATAGATTTAGATGCTGCCAGCGGATCCGTGACATTTGAACTGAGTATTCCTCCATGGTGGGAACGATTCGTGCACCGATGTATGCAACTTGACAACCGCCAGATTTTGAAACGGATCTGCATTAAGATGAATCAGATTTCTAGCGAAGATAGAGCGTTCGTGGCAGCCTTCATCGCAGCGCAAAAAGGTGATGGACAGCTGTTCCAGACCTTGTTGGGTGGAGATGTGAAAGTTGATGTTCAACGTACTGTACAGTGTAGTGGTCGCACTCTTTTGCACGCAGCAGTAGCGGGTGGGAATTTCTCGTGCGCAGCGGTTATTTTCATGAACGGTGGCTGGCCACTATTGTCTAAACCTGACCAGCAAGGTGTTACGCCGATGGATTCCGCTAAGAACACCAACCAGAAAGATTTAGTGGAATTGCTTGGCCACTACGTCGAATTACAGTCTCGGGAAACTTAGGAAATTGAGTCGACTGCCGATGAAACTTTGGATGTTGATGTTGATGTTGATGCTGGCGAGTTACGTGACAATGGACAAGATGAGGACAGCGTTAAACACGAAAGAGAGAACGGTCTCTCAGAAAGTCCCCCGCAAGATCTTGTCATCCAGAATGAGGTGACAGAGAACTCAGGAAAAGGAACAGTTGACGAAACTTTGAACGAAGTTATGGCCAAACTCGAGATAGAACGTGTAAATCAAGAAAGAGAACAGGACGAGGAAGTAAGCGAGAGATCTTACGGTCATGTACGGACGGGATCCCACAGGAGGTTATTTAGAGAGTCCAATATTGAAGGTAAGCTTCATAAGCCACTGAGAGCAAGCAAATCAATCGATTCCCACGATGGATTTTCATCCGTGAACTGCATCTTCACTCGAATAGATGAAATACGACCGCTAAGCGCTAAAGCTGTTCCAGGAGCCAGACAGCGTGAAGAAAAACTTCCAAGGGTGAACACACCACCTTCATCACCCATTAATTCTCCACGCATGCGCCGTAAATTAGTACCATCGCCTCTGAACCCAGAGAGACCGGGAAGTCCTGTTCTCTACCCCAGGTCTCCATCATCTCCCCGACCCATGTCGCCTCTAGTGTGTCGTTCAAGGTCTGCAACCTCTCCTGGGATGAGACCCAGTCTGGCTCCTTCTTACAATTCACCTGATCTCAGGAGGAAAGCCATGACTCTCAGTGGAGGCGAAACTAGGCGTGAGAGGTATGTAGCAAATGGCAAAAACCAGAATGGAGGAGAAAGGAAGATAGAGTATTCTAGATACAACAAGGTAATTTTGGTTTTATCATCTGAGTTGATAATGCAAATTGGCCATCAGAAAGAGGTTAAAAACTGACGTATCGAGTGTTAGCCCTTCGTCATTCGCTTTGATGAAGGGATAAACGCTCAAAACGTCAGCTTTGAAACGCTGTATTTACATTATCAACTCAGTTGATAAAACCAAAATTACCATGTTATACTCCCCCACCGACGCAGCACCACAGTTTCTTTAGAAACTCCTCCCCCCCATCGTGACGACTATTACACTATTATACTCTGACAAAGTAAAATAAACGACAAATAAATGTATGATAATGATAGCTTGTTGGCAAAAAAGGGGAACAATTAAGTGAAACCTCGCCATGCGAACAACCTTTTNATTCTAGATATTGTCAGGAATCCATTACTTGGAGTGTTCAACTCCCATACTGAGCCTATGTCACGGCATTTTCACAGCACGGTTTGTTTTTAGACTATCTTTATTCGGGAAATTAACTGCGTGTTAATCGTGATTGGTCGAACGGCTTCCATTTCGCGGTAAATTCAAACTAAAAATAGACTTGTCTATGAAAACACCGTGATTTAAACAAAGGGAAGCTGAACGCTCCAAGTAATGGACACCTGATATAGTGTATATGACGGGATACTATATTGTTAATTAAAATAAGCATGGATTAATCCTTAGCTTAAAGTTATTATGAGAATTCAGACAACTATCAGGTAAGGGATAATGTTTGTATACAATACCGCATTCTTATGGTTGACCAACAAAGAAAGATAGGAAAACGAAAAGTTTGTCACTTTGGGGAATAATGTATCAGAACCGGGAATGAGAGGGTAAGGCCGAAAAAGGAATCAATTAATCAACCAATCAATCAATCATTCAATCAATCAATTAATCCATCATTTGTTAGTCAGTCAGGCAATAAATCAATCCATTGTTTAATTAACAAACAGATTTCATATTGCTGTACGTCTGTTCAATAATAGATCACAGATGTCCGAGGATATCGCCCAAGTGATATTCCACAATTTTCAAACCTTACGTTCTCTGCGGTGATTCTTCATTCAAAATTTAATTCAAGATAAGAGAGAATTTGTGGTTGTTACTGACGAGAAATATTGCTTTTTTTTCATAAAGAAAAAGAATAGAAAAAGATTAGAAAACTTCTCGGGCAGCAAACAGTAAGCTGATTGTAAACATTTTATTCACGTGCGTTCCAAAGTATTTGAAGGATAATAAACAAAATAACCCTTATTTTGCGCGAAAACATACTCGTTTATTTGTCCTTGGACATTAACTGTTCCTCAAAGCTCAGATTTCCGTGAGCGAAGCTCGAGGAAAACTGTTCCCATCTTGGAACAGATAATATCCACGGAGAAATATCCATGCATATTTTCGCGCCAAATACAAGTTATTGTTTATATATCATATAAAGGCTGATTGCTTGAATGAGTCATTAGTTATTCATTCATTTACTATGCAGTATGAATTAATGAAAATATTGTTCTACAACCATCAAGATTTTACTCATTTCGGAGTATGAACAAACAAGAACAAGCATGGCAGTCACCACTCATTACTTTTTGAGGTGATAGAGCTTGAAATTCAGTAGTTCTAGGCACACCATGTCGGCGCGCTAGCAGCCTCAGGAAGATGTGAGTGGACTCCCCGCACGTCTCGTTAGGGGGTTTAGGGACCTTAAGCAACCACGACGGCGACGGCAACGAGGACTTGGAAAAACAAGAGATCTAATTGGCAGAACAATAGCTCAGCACGTGCGTTTTGAAACTTTGTACATTTCTTCGCC